CAACTGCATCAGAAATTATAAAGATTATTAATAGTTGGATTAATAATATTAAAAGTAAGAATTTGATAAAGAATTTTTAAATGATATAATAGAATTTTATAAAACAGATAAAGTATTGAAATATAAATAAGATAATAATATATTAAATAATGATATTATTATTGAATCTCATCTACAAGCATATTATACAAGTTATTTATTAATTTTTACTGGAAAATTAAAGTAAGCTTTAAATGAAGATACTGTAAAAATTGTAAAAACTGAAAGTAATGAAAATAGAAGTAATTATTATATAATATATAAATGTAAAAATTTTAATATTATTAATTAATATATATTTTAATTTATAGAATCTTTAAATATTATAGAAAATGAAATAAATATTTAACTTTAATTTATAATATGTATTTATAATATATAGTTTAGTAAAAATAACTCAAATTTTTTTATTTTGATATTCTATAATTATTATAATAAAGTTGTATTTAAATAAATTTTTTATAAAAAATAAAATTAAAATAAATATCTTTTGAAATATAGTATATAGATCAAAATAATTTAATAAATCATAATACTTATATATTTATAGAATTTTTATAAATTTAATATTAGCTAAATTAAAGTTCTTATCATGCTGAAATTAATATATGACTTATTTTCTAAATTTTATATTAATAGTAATTATTTAGAATATATATAAATAATTGGTAAAGAAAGCATTTAATATTAATAATAGCATTAATTAAAGCATCCTTTTATAGAGTTAGAATTGATATAAAAGAACTATTACTTTTTGGTAATTTATTTTATAAAAATTAAGGAATAAATATAAAGATGACTTTGTTAATATATTATTGTATAAATAATATACAAATAAAATCTTAATAATCAGCTTAAAAATATTTGTAATTATAAATATAAAAAATGTCATATCTGTATTTGATAACAAATAACAAATTTATATTAAAATTTTTTATATTATAAGCTTTATATATAATGAAATTTTACATCAAAAATTTGCAAAAGTTAATTAATGATGAAAAAGTAATTATTAGTTTTAGTATAGAAATATTAATTCATATTGAGCTAAAAAAGAAATTTTACATGTAATTATAATATTTATTCCTTAAACAGTAAATAAAAACTATTTTTAAAACATTTTAAAAAACTTGAAATAATTTAATATCTAATAATTACAAAAAGATAAAATAAAATTTTTATATTTATCATATTATAATGTATCTAATAATAGTATTTTTAAACATTTTAAAATTAATAATTATCAATATATATTAATTTTTCAATTTTTTAATTTTTATACATAATTTATTATATAATAATTACAATAATTTAAAATTTAATTTATTGGATTCATCACATTAAATCCTATTAAATGATAGTATTTTATATTTCTAAGATTAATAGGTAGCAAGATATATGAATTTAAATTTTAATTTTTTTTATAATAATTTATTATTTATTTATCTTTAAAAAATCACTAGCTAATTACATTTTTTTTAATTTTTACTTAGAAAACATTATAATATTTATTATAAAAGTATTAATTTTCTTAATAATATATTTTAAAATATTTAAAAATAATTAAAAAGAGTTGTAATTAATAAATAAAATTGCCTACAAATTTGTAGGCAAAACAATTGAAGGGATAATAAAAATGGTTGATAAAAGATTTAGAACATTTTAATAATACTATCGCTAAAAATATTTAATATTAATTAAAACTGATTCCTAAAAAATTTTTTTGCTTGAGGTGGATTTTGTTAAAAGGTATTTTTTGCTTTTAGAAGATAATAAATAATTTGAAATTTTAGAATAATGCTTGACAGTTATTGACAGTTCTAGTGTGATAGAATTCTTTTAGTTAATTAATTTTCTTTCTACTATGGTAAGGCTTATTCTTTTCAGGTTATGATAGCAGATCTGATAAAATAAGGTTTTCTTATTTTCTTATTTTTAAATCAGATTTTTATAATTAAGCCTTCAAAAATTAATAAATAATTTAGATTATTATTCGATCATTTACATAATTATTATTTAATAGTTAAAAAATAATTACATAAATTGGATGATTATATCATCTATCCACAAAGGCCAAAAATATTAATAGATGTGTGAATTGGAATCGATTCTAATCCTTTAGTGGTACAGAAAGTGTGGTGCTGCGGTTAATTTTATTTTAATGATTTTTATGCAAAAAAAAAAATGACGTTTAGGTGATGCTAGTTATAACGTTTTTATAATATTTTTTTTTAAGATAATATGAAATACAAAAATAAAAAAATAATTTATTATATTGCCAAAAATTTTTTTTTTAAAAAAATATAGCATATAAATCTTTAACATTTTGATTCATCCTCTGGAGGTATTTCCTTGCTAGACAATTTTGGTAAATCAATTCGGCATTATCTTTTATGTCATCGTATAAAGTGAGATTTTTTATTCTTGGAAATAATACAACAAGCATTGTTCTCAGTGAATAATCTCGAACATTTTGATTCTAAGCAATAGGACTGACCATTAAGTTCATTACGAAAACATTCAGATTAATTGTATCTATCATCAAATCTTCCTATACTGGATCCTCGGCCATAATTTAATATACAGTGTGGGACAAAAAAAATGAGAAAATTAGTCACGTAATCGAAAATGATCTACTTCATCAAAAATAGATTTAATCTGCACCACCTTAATATATAATAAATATTATATTTATGTTGCTAACACCTCTTTGCTTCATAAAAAAATTCTCATATAAAACTTTGCGTAATGACAAAAACTTATGACGAAACCCTATTAAATTTTGGAATAACGGTATACATAATGCCAAAGAACTACATAAACTTACGAATGTATCACTATTCACAATTTATAGTAAAATTGAAAAAATAAAAAAAAATGGTTTATTAAAGCATGCTAGAGGGAATGATCGACCTAAAAAAATTACTGCAAGTGCTTTTCGTGCACTTGGTTAATATATAAGACATGATACTTCTCTTTTCACAAGAACTTTAGCAAACAAGCTAGAAAATATAGGTGTAGAAGCATCATATAGAACTGTTGAAAGGCACCTTTCAAGTATCGGTTATGTAAAAAGACTGCCTAAAGCAATGCTGATGTTAACCAAAGTATATAAGCAAAAGCGTATAAAGTGGGTGTGAAAACATATCAATAACAGATGGAACAAAACCATATTTACTGATGAAATAGCTTTTCAACTATTCAGAAATACACTGGAATGATAGTATAAAGGGAAAAGGCCGGTTCAGCGTATGCCTAAAGATCGTACAAAAATTATGGCATGAGGTGGTTTTTGTTTAAAAGGAAAAACAAGTTTATTTTGTTTTAAACAAATCATGAACGCTGAGTTTTATGTGGAAATTCTTCATAAACATGTTCCTGAGATCTTTCAGATGCTTAGTAATCGTTAGCGCTGTTAAGCCTAAACACTACATCGTTAGGATAATAAAGCTTATTTGCTAACAGTGAGTTTAAGTTGTAAACTATGAAAGAAATAAACACCGAATTTATTTAAGTTGAAGGGTCAGGTCATCTTTATTGATGATTTATGTTTTAAGGAAATGGATATTGACAAAGATATAGTTTTTATATTGTTAAGATTATACTTTATTAATTATACGATTGAAACTTGTTAGTTTGTCAAGACGACAATACATGATATTTATATAAAATACAATTATAAGATAGAGATAATAAATATAATAGTGAAAGTAAATATAACTATGATAATAAAGATAATAAATAAAATAATGATAAACGTAATAACAATGAAAATGAATATAACAATGATAACCGTGATAGCAGTGAAATCGGTGAAAACGATGATCACGATTTTCCTGGTGATCATTGGTGACGTTAGTTGGCGCAGTCATTTAGTTGTACAAACGGATTATCACTAACAGCGCTTCCAATAAGACAATGATCCCAAGCATACCAGTCGTCTTGCAAAGGCTTTTCTCAAGGAAAATGTCCAGGTAGTTTTAGATTGGCCATCGAATAGCCCTGACCTAAATCCGATCGAAAAATTATGGGCGATCATAAAAAGTAAGGTAGAGAAACGTATGCCAAAAAATATTGGTGAACTGGAAGAATTTATGGTTGAGTGGCAAAATATCCCCGAAACCGTTCTAATCAATCTTTCAAAGTCAATGAGGTGACGTTGCGAATTAATTATTGAAAATAATGGCCATATTAATTTTTTTTTAATAAAGTCATCTGATCGTTGCCGTGTGGCTTTAGCGGAAATAATCGAGGCTTATTTCAAATAAGGCTTAATTTCACAATAAATGATCTTTTGCTTAAACCAAAATGATAGTGGCTTTGTATTCTTTTAACGAATAAAGTAAAGCTATCGTTAATTCAATTACGGGGCTTTTTTTTTTTGAATTTGTAGAAAATTATTTGACCTCCAATTAAAGTAGTGGGGGCTTAGATTCGGTTAGCGGTATGTAGTATTAGTTTGAATTTTAACAGTTTTTTTCTTTATTAACGGGTGAGATATTGTAGATTTTTAAAAGAGCTGTTGAACTTATTAGCCACAGAATATTTAAGCATGTTTAGATGTGGCTTAGTCTAAATTAATTACTTGTAAACTTTCAATAATATAACCTTACTTTTTTATTTATTTTGTTATTATAATATAATTGAGTTACCGAAATACCAACCTTTCTTAATGGATTCAAGTTTTAGGATAGCTTCAATCGATTTTTTTTTTATTAAAAAAAAGTATGCGCATTTTTAGCTATGTATGATTATCTAAAATTTGATTGCGCGAATTTTTTGAGAAATATTATTATACGGTAATCGGGAATGAATTAATTTGAGCGTTATATATGATGAATGAACATTTGATTTGATTTTTTTTTTTTTCAAATACTATTAATTATAAATAGCATTATCAATTATTCTCTTTTTAATTTTTTTTTTTTTTTTTCTAAAACAAAATTTTTTAATTTATTACAATGAGATTAGTGAGAATAACATCAATTCTTGCAATATGCACAACGATAACAAATGCAATACCCACGTTAGACAAACGTCAAGAGTCGGAAGGAGGGGGAGCATACCCAACCTTCAATGATAACCTTTTTGAACCTTTCGTAGCATATGAACCTACACCTGAACCCATAACGAGATATTATAATTTAACATTATCTCGCAAAGAATTAAGACCGGATGGCTTCACGAGAATGGTTTGGACGTCAAACAATCAATACCCTGGTCCAATGATACGTGCCAATAAAGGGGATAGGATGATAATTAATGTTCAGAATGACTTGGATGATGGAACCACGATTCATTGGCATGGACTTTTTCAGCATGGGACTACCTATTACGATGGTGTCGCAGGACAGGTAATCGAACGAACACATATGTAACTTTCCATCTTCTCATCGTTTACTGCCATTTAAAATCTTTTGACATTACATCCATTATTTTCGCGTGGCAGACTCAATGTGTTATTCCAGATAATCATGTATTTGTTTATAACTTCACTGCGGGTAATCAAACAGGAACTTATTGGTGGTAAGTAATGATGCAAACATTGCACTGTTCAATTGTTATCGATGATGTTGCGCGTGAACTAAAAAAAAAAAAAATTACTATTTATAGGCACTCCCATTTTCTTGCTCAATATGTGGATGGGCTAAGAGGTCCGCTAATGTAAGTATATTTTTTAATTTCTTTCGTATATTAGTTCACAAGATTTTTTTTTTAGGAGAAATTTTATTTTAACAAAATTTTACATTGTGCATCAAAAGTATTCACGACCCAAATGATCCTTTCCTAAAAGATTACGATGAAGAATTTGTAATGACTTTGTCTGATTGGTACCACACACCATCGGTGGGTCTAATCGCGAAAATGGATACACCCGGCTATACGGGAGGAAAAGTAAGTTGTCGCGAAATCACTTGAAGTGCATTTTCGATATTTTCATTAAATCGTTCGAAACCTATAATATAGCCCATCCCTGATTCGGGGCTTATCACCGGTATTGGAAGATTCGATTGCAATAATGCGCCTCCAGGATCAAAATGTGAGCCAAACAATCCGCTTGCCGTTTATCAAGTCCAACAAGGAAAGCGATATCGTCTCCGTATCATAAACACAAGGTAATCATGTTTGAACCAACTTTCTCGTTGAGTTGGTTTCATTAAATACCACTTTTTTAAAATAGCGCGGAGATAACTTTCACCTTTTCGATCGACGAACATCCTTTAAATGTCATCGAGTGTGAAGGTGAAAACCTCAAACCAGTCATTTTTAATAAAATCAATATCGCTGTCGGACAAAGATACTCGGTGATTATTACAGCGGATAAAGAAATTAAAAATTACTGGATTCGTGCCGAAGAATGTTTAGAGTCTAGTCTAAACGTTACAGGTATATTAAGATACCAAGGTGCACCCGATGCGGATCCAACTACGCTAGATTGGAATGAAGATACAGATAAATGTCGAGATATCGATCATAACCTATTAAAATTATATGAACCTAGACCTGTTCCGGAACCTGTAACGGATTCATTCA